GCCAATGCAGACATGTAAAGAGACATCCGGATTTATAAATAATAGAATTTTTACATAGATAATAAATTTGAAGTCTGAAGATTATCGAATTATAAGAGATGGACGTTGAGCAAACATTTTCTCACAGAAGGGAAAATTGCATAAAACATTAGTCAGAGCTAATCTTCAAGGTGATTCTAACAGAACTTTAAAATTTACATATCTTCAGTTAACTTGTATAACTAAGACATATTTTAAGGAAGATATTGATATTGGAGATTATCATCTGAAAATGATTAATCTCTAGTTGTTTGAAGAAATTTGATTGGGTAGCTTGACAAATAATTAGGGATTTGCTACAGAAATATGCTAATTTTATGACATTTTTGTAGTGTTATGAAGTAAAATGTTCAGGAGAATTACAAACACATTAGAGTCTTTGAGAAAAATAGAAAGTAAATGACTTTTGACAAAAGCTAAGGCCTATTTTGTCGTAAACACAAGGTCTTTTAATTAGCAAGGAAACAGATTTGAGAAAACTTTTTTTTATATGGACTTAAGTGTATCTTTTATTTTTTTTAATTTTTTTAAATTTATTTATTTATTAAGGATTTGTGCCTCCACCCCGCCACCACCTCCCATTTCCCTCCCCCTCCCCCGATGAAGTCCCTCTCCCTCATCAGCTCGAAGAGCAACCAATGGCAATGGGTTTTTGATCCTACTGCACATACTGGCTTTGGGGGAGTCTAGGCAGTTTGGATGCTAACCTTACTAAACCTGGATGGAGGTGGGCAGTCCTTGGACTTCCCACAGGTCAGGGAACCCAGATTTGAGAAAACTTATATTAACTTTTGTAGTAATAGGAGAGGCGGGGCTGTGTCCCCAGCTTCTGCCACCGGCTAGCGAAATAACAACACACAAACTGTATTCTTTTTTTTTTTTCCGAGACAGGGTTTGTCTGTGGTTTTGGAGCCTGTCCTGGAACTAGGTCTTGTAGACCAGGCTGGTCTCGAACTCACTGAGATCCGCCTGCCTCTGCCTCCCGAGTGCTGGGCAAACTGTATTCTTTTAAACACTGCTTGGCCCATTAACTCTAGCCTTTACAGGCTAATTTTCATATCCCGATCAACCCATCTCTAATAATCTGTGTAGCATCAGTCTTACCAGGAAAGATTCTAGCCTACCTCCATCCTGGGTCTGAGCTTCATGTGCTTGCCTCATAGAGCAGAGCTATTGTGTCTGCCTGGGAGAGGGGAGCATGGCGTCTCTGAGCTCACTTCCTCTTCCTCCCAACATTCTGTTCTGTTTACTCCACCCACCTATGTTCTAACCAATAAAATGGGCCAAGGCAGTTTCTTTATTTTTTTAACCAATGACCTTCCTCCATCAAACTTTAGACAACTTTGCAGAGATTTGGGGACAAATTATAAAGAAGGCCATGGTTGTGGTATGATCTGGGGGGCTGATTTGATAGACTTTGGAAATAAAAAATATTTTGTTAGAAAGAAACAAGAATAAAACTACTGCGTTCAAAATGTTAGAGGAAAAAAATATTATATAAACCATATTTGAACAATATAACATCAGTAATATGTTGTTTGAGGCCCTGATGGACAGAGGTTTCATTTTGCCATATTCTGGCAACATGTTCCTTGGTCAGCAACATGGAGGACACCCTGTCAATTTCAGGGGCTTCCTGATCTCTACTTGACCTTTTTCTGGTTAATGTCCATAGGCCCAGATATCTGAATTTTCCCTAGAGTTACCTTTAACACAGTCCCCTACAGAAGTTTTCCCTCTGCTGCTCATACAATAATTAGACTTGTCTTATACTAGAAGCCTTATGATAGGAATGTATTGTTTAACGGACCTTAGGTCTTGTCCCAATGTTTATATCTCCCCTCACTCTGGAATAAATTTGAGCTGTCTCACTGAACCTGTATCTCAGAATGATGTGGGATTCCCATCTGTATGTTGTGAGTATCAATGGTTAATAAAGGAATTGCTTTGGGCCTATAGCAGAGAAATAGGAGAATATGGTTAGGCTGGGAAAACTAAACTGAATGCATGAAGGAAAGAAGGGTGGGGTCAGGAGAAGCCATATAACCCTGCTGGAGCCAAATGGAACTTTAGTTGGTAAGCCACAGCCACGTGGCAATACATAGATTAATAGAAATGGGTTACATTAATATGTGAAAGGTAACCAATAAGAATCTAGAGCTAACGGGCCCAGTGTTGATCTAATTAATACAGTTTCTGTGTGATTATTTTGGAGCTGAGCAGCCAGGAACCAACAAGCAGCCTCCCTCCAACACTAGAAGGCTATTTCCATAATGTTCATAGGCCATACAAAGCTATCTGTCACCATATATGCTACTTTATCCTCACAGACTGATAACCTAGGAACCATGAGGGATAAAAGGGTACCATAATATACAAATGACATTTTTAAATTAGAATCTGGAAGAAAATAAAAACTTGAGAGTGTAAAAGGTTCTTCTAGATAACAGTATTTTCATCAGGGCTGCAATTTTAAAACAAGATTTTTGGAGTATGCTGCACCAGAAATTGACAGGAAATCACAGTTTTTCTAAAAGTGGTTCATTATATGTGGCAAATAATACATTGCTGATAACCCCGGGCATTTTAAATAGTGAACTGCTTAAGAACGAGTAGTTGTGTTGATTGCAGTGTTGAAAGGTAAGTGGAAAAAGTTTACCAAAGGATAATAATTGTGATGTGAGTTATAAAGTAGTGTTTCACCAAGGTTTCACTTTTGGCACAGTATAGAAGTAATATTATCTGTATAGCCTATTGGATAAAATTACAGGACTATTTAGGGAAAAATGAGAGTAGATTATTTGGAAATATCTTTCACATTTTTTGTACCATGAAAAAGGAAGTGTATGTTCTTATATTAAAATGACACATTGAAATTATATGTGCTGCTGTGAGCACAATGTACTTTGTGCCTGGTATATACCTCTTGAGTAACTCAATGCCATATATATATATATATATATATATATATATATATATCTTGAGTAACTCGATGCCTGGTATATATATACCTCTTGCATAACTCGATAATAGCCTTCTGCAATCTTTCACAAATATTTGAGATCTCTATGCATGTGTGATAATCTAGGTTACTGGTATATATCATGACCCCTGATAGCTTTGAATATTGTTTCTCATGAAACCTAAGTATGACTGTTAATTATTAGAAGAAGCTGAAATTTTTTAAAGATAAAATTCACTCTAAATCCTCATATTGTGGCAAAGACTATGGTGATCAGTCCTTTCAGTTGTATCTATTATTTATTTTCAACAAAACAATAGGACTTTATTAAATTTTTAAGCAGAGGTATAGAGATACTGATGGCTTTGTGTCTAATTTAGAGAGCTTAAATACTCTACATATGAAACTACAATGTAAGGAAGGTATGGATGTTTCAACAATCAGTGAAATGAAGACCTGAGGAGGATCATAAAAAACAATCACCTGTGTGATTGACAACGGGGTTGTAGATTAAAAAATATAATTTAATAGAAGGTCAAGTTTATTTAAAGGATTGGATTTGGTTTATTTTGTTTAGAATACAAAGTAAATTGCAAAATATTTGAAAATCATATATGTTTTTGACAGAAACAGAAAACTGAGCAGAGTACTAAGAACTTAGAACATGGGGTAGTTAACTAAGTGACATACAAAATTATGTTATGGAATGATAAAGTTTTTATTGCAGAAATGATAGTAAATATTTCTTTGTATTATACTATATGGTTGGATATAGATGGAAAATGTTAGGTAAATGTAAGTGTGGGTAAATTCTTTTGATTATTCACTTTTCAACAGGATTTCCAAGGATGAAGTCCTGGAAGGCCAATAAAAAATGTATTTTTATGTTTGAAATTTTAATATGACCATTGAATAGGGAACTGAAAGATAACAATGACAGAAAATTGGTGGGAAAGTGCAATCATTAGTTTTAGGAAAAAGAAAAGATTACCAAATCTGATTAGGAAAATCATAAAAAAATAAAAGCTGTTGTTCATTTTACATTGATATTATGGAAGTTGAAAAAGTATGGAGTAAGTCATCATATTAAGAAACTAAAATATTTTGATTATAAAATAAATCTGACAAAATAATTTTCAAAATACTACAAAATATTATTTTAAATATTCAGAGAAAGATAGATAACATTTTAGATATAGTAACCCCAAGGATGCATAATTTCTGAGAAAATGTGCATAAAAAATTATTTTTATCAACATGTGTCTTTAATCAGATGAGTAAATACACCAAAGTGGTTCATATAGATGTGGGGAGAATTTTAACTTGTCTTAGATGAAGTCCAGCATAAGGTTCATGTCCTTTCTCGCTAATCTATCAAAGAATAACATATAGATATGTACATACATACCTGAGTTGAGTATATCTTTGTCCTACCTCCAAGATTGATGGGAAATAAAAGGAAAAAGTTCACTCTCTGTATGTCATGCTCCTTTGTTCTTCTCACTGTTCTACTACATGCAGAGTCCTGAAATTGTAAAATTATTATCTATGTTCTGGATTACATACAAATCTTCTTCCAGGTGATTGCTAAATATTTACTGATATCGTACAATAGAAACAGTGGTGAGAGTCAAACGGTAGACAAATGAGAGCTCTCCTTGGCAAAAAGAGCATGAATTCCTGTGGAAGGACTCCACATCAGGCTAGAACTTTTAAAACTAAGAAAACTTTGCAAAGGTGTGATGTGTTGAGTAGATAGATTGTAGTGTGTCAACACTGTCTCCTCAAGGCTTTCCGGGATAAACTGGAGTTTGTAATGCAAAACTGAGAATTTCGTTATGATTAACACACTACCTAGTCAAACCATTTTTGAAATACACTCTAGTCTGTGGGAACATTGCCTGACCTCAGGGAACAGAAACATGACCTGGAAACATTTTTAAATATTTAATTTTATGCTTGTATCGATCCTTTTTTGTTATTTAATTTTCTTAATTTCTACAGTATAATGAACACAGTCCCCCACTACCAAAATATGCAGTAGAGTTTTCCGCATTTGAAAAAAATGCAGGGGTCAGCATATCTGGAATGCAATTGATAAGGCTTGCCCTGGGAAAAGCACCTTTGTGATCATGGTATCTCCCCTGTCAGGATAGTATTATACTGAAACAAAGTTTATTAATGAAAAGCAAGAACTGTATATGTTTTTGTTCTCTAGTCTCACATTGATAATCTTTGCTTAGGGTTCTACATGGCTTATGATTATATAATTTGATTAGGACTATCTCTTCAAGAATAAATAATGGAGATTAGTTCATAAATAGAATTCCTAAGAAGAGTCCATCAGTTAACATTCAGTATAAAGTTTTATCACAGGAGTATCACAGCAAAAAGGAAAATAAAGTAGATAGCTATAAATTCTAAGGAATATAAGACAACATTCTCTTGAATTGGTTTCATTTTGATTAATCAGATTTAGTCTGTCTTAAGGAAATGGTCCGTTTAATCAGACTATGCTATTGCCTTTCCAATCCCTGCGGAGACACTGTCAGGGTACATACTCAGCGAGGGCCTCGAAGGCTACACACACGCCATTAAATAAAACTGGAACTGTGTTGATAGTCATATGTTCTGAAGATAATATGCACTTTATAAGTAAGTTTAAATATTGAGAATGAAAATGTAGTTTTTAAAATTTAATATGTCATAACATAGAACATTTCTATCAAATGCCAGGGACATACACAATGGGAACAAAGTAAAAGAAGTAAAAAATGAAGAGCCTTAAGAACTTAAGTGTGTCTGTGTAAACCTAAGTAAAACTTTATGTATTATTACATAAGTATTACCCATATATTTTTTTAAACATTTTCATTACACATTTTGAGACAGTCTCTCTCACTGGCTTGGAACTTTATGATGGCTAGACTGGCTGGCCAACACAGTTATAAACATATATGGTGGTTTGGATGTTTTGATATGAGCTCTAGGGCTCAAAGTCAGATCCTTCTGTTCATGAAGGAAATGCTTTAACACTGAACTATCTTGCCAAGACTGTGATTTTGAATGAATTATTTTTATAAACTTAACTTCACATTCGAACGTTATAATTATTTAATTCCATAGAGATCAAAGTTAGAGTTTAGATTTTATCATTAAAACAAATGTAAGTACAAAGATATAAAATGAGTTTGGTAATCTAATTCAATTATTGGGTTAAACTGGTATTTAGATATAATAAGAGATTGGAAGTTAGAAAAAAAGAAAGAATATATTGTAGTTGGGCAACTGCATCTTGTGATAAAATGTTATTATACAAATTGTTTTTATAACAAATGACCAATAAACAATTACCATAGATGGTAGATGATATCCATTCAATAATTATTCAGCTCTCTAGGGCATAATCCAAAGTTCAGTGGAGAAACTTTTCCAGAAGGAAGATGATAATGGAAAACACAGGTCTCCAGATCAAAGAAAGATAAAAGATTTAAAAGATGAACAGACTAGAGAGAGTAATGCTACTTGTGGCAGGCTAAACACTACAGGAGAGTACTCTGCTCCCAGTATGTCATGAATACAAAAGGATGATGTCTTAGCTTAAAACAAAGATAGTTTCATAAAATTTACACTCTATACCCAGGACCAGATAATTTATAACAGGCATTAAGTGGAAATGAAGCTAGAGAAAAAGAGAAGGAAGGTAGAGTTGGGAGGATGAGACTCAGAAAGAGGACACACAGAGATAGAGCCAGGAAGAGCCTCATGATTAGATGAGAAAAGAGAAGATACAGGAGTGAAACACTGACTAAAACACATTCATCTCTATCAAGTATTACTGAGGAGACTGTCAGTCCAATGAGAAGGGAATCAGGGATCTACATTAGCTATAGGTTTGGGGAAGATCTTATCTGCCATATCAGTGTAATCAATTACTTAAAATCAGTTGTGCTCAGGCTTTGGCTAGTTTTAGAGTTAACAGTGCCTATTTACCCAAATATTCCATTCTTGATACCAAAAATAAGATGTCATGGGACTGTCCTATATGAGACCTCTGGAAAATAGTTCTAGTTAGAGGGGAAAAACTTGTAGTCAGATAATACTGTCTCCCATTATTTTTAGATGCCCTGCATAGAATGGTTTCTAGTGTGAGATTCACTAGTTTTCCACAAAAAATTTATGATCTTTTTTGGCCTTAAGAGTAATAAGTTCTCCGGGCTGTGGTGGTGCATGCCTTTAATCCCAGCACTCAGGAGGCAGAGGCATGTGGATCTCTGTCAGTTTGAGGACAGCCTGGTCTATAAGAGCTAGTTCCAGGACAGGCTCCAAAGCTAGAAAGAGAAACCCTGTCACGATAAAAACCAAAATAAGTAAATAAATACATAAAATTTAAAAAGAGCAGTAAGGTCTAAGGTACATATCAAGTGGACAGATTGCCAAAAGTGGACTAAGTGGACAGGTCCAAATGTTCTATTCAGGCAATGCAATAAGAAAGCATGTACTACTGATTACTTTTTCTAGTTGAAGGACACTCAAGAAAATGGTCAAATCAAGATGTCAAATCCCACAAAGGTGTTGTTCTTGTTGGAGAATATGAACTCTATTTGCCAAGGAAGATGAGGCAATCGAGACAGACTCTCTAACTGTGTTCACATAAAGGACTACATACAAATAGGTCATAAGTGACTTGTGTCCATAAACGACTAAATGCACACACACACACACACACACATACTCTACATTGCTGGCCAATGTAGGAGTGCTGAGACTGGCTTGCTTTGCATGATTAGGTTTTGCAAATACCTTTTCTTATCATTTATCTAAGATTTTAAGAGTTTGCATTAAATAAAAACTTTTTTATTTATTTCTTTTATTTTCTTCTCTATCTTTATTTTTTTACATGGCTCCAATATTAGTTGTAAATCTTATTCTAAATATCTATTTCCTTTCATACAATTCATATCTGATACCTTACTATAAGCATTATTACCCTCTTTTCTTTATTATACTAATGGTAATGTAATTGAAATGGCCACTCTTTTAAGGATATATTTCTATATTTTCATCGTAGGAATGTTTATCAGTTGTAGTTGAATTTGTATTAGGAATTCTACACTTGTAGTGGTATTGTAGATTGTGCTCAATGATCTGAACATAGTGCAAAGAACTTAATTACTGAGCTACACACAAGCAAGAGGACAGCCTAACCCTATAAAATGTATCTTGACCATTAGCTGTATTAGCTGAAGGAATACAGTGATGCTTAAAGTTTAGCCAAAATCCTGACTGCTATTGGCCATGTTTCAATTTACTAAAACAAAAATCATGAAATGCAAAGCAACATTCAAAATAACCAACTCCAAATAATTAATTCCAATGGGATCAAATAAATTAAATGCCAGAGTATGAATTAAAAAAAACTGACAATTAGAATTTTTAATAATATCAGAAACTATAATCCAACTTGTGAATGAATTAAAATAATATATATTAATAGTTGAATTTAATTAGAAAGTCAGCATAAACTATCAAGAAAAAATCAATAATGATAAAGAAAAGCAGTATAAAGCTTATTTGAAAACTTAGATTGTATAAGTTTGCACTCCTACCACCAAAAGAGGAATGACCTCTTGCAGTTAACTCTCTCCCATTTTGGGCAGTTAACATTTATTGCCAAGAGAAGCAAAAGGAGAAACAATGTATTTCTACTTCTAATAATAATATAGTCTTGTTGGGAAAAAACAGCAATCATGTATCCAAATTCCCACTCCATATCATGGACTACCAGACATTGCCAAAGAGACATGATCTTTTCCACTTCACTAAGGCATCCTGACCGATCTGCATTCACTATTTTATCTCTCCATCCGGACTCTCATAATCTTCTCCCAGAACTATAAACTATTACAAACCTCAGATAATTTTTATAACAATTCACCAATACTTTCTTCCACTGCCAATAAACTAATCAAACATACAAATCATAAACCCTCATTCCACATTCACCAGATGCAGGGCCTCCAACACAATATGTACTGAAAGATCAGTTTCACATATATGGCCCCAGTCAAAAACCACAAATACTTTACCATCCATGTGGATGTATTATCAGGATGGATGGAGTTCTTGTGGACCTCTAACAAAAAGGGCCACATGGTTGCACCCCATTTGTTATTGATTTTGTTTGATGATATCTAGTTTCTTTGAGTTCTTTATATATTTTGAATATTATTCCTCTGTCAGATGTAGATTTGGTGCTGATCAATCTACCCCAGGATCCAGCAATACCACTCTTGGAAATATAACCAAGAGATGCCCAATCATACAACAAAAGCATTTGTTCAACTATGTTCATAGTAGCATTCTTTGTAATAGCCAGAACCTGGAAACAACCTAGATGCCCCTCTATGGAAGAATGGATAAAGAAAGTGTCAAATATATACACATTAGAGTACTAGTCAGTGGATTACATGTTCTTTAGGTGAACAAATTCTTGATATCCTTGAATATTTTGGAGATCATATTTCTGTCTGAGAGATGCCATGTATTTCATAAGTGCAGCAAATATTATTTTCTCAAATGAGTTTCTTTTTCTTTTTACAATTTGTATTATGTTCACCTAATTTGGGGCTTAATAACTTCATTTATAATGATATTTTTCCAATCTAAAAGTATAGTCTTATGTTAATTATCTGATGTTATTATTTACAAACCTAAGATCTTGTATCAAATTTATACATTAGATTTATCAAATGAGGTACAGTTTCATTTCAAAGCATTAGCATATTTTTGTAGGTGTAGAGAGATAGTTACATTCCTTTTTTAAACAGAATGTAAATATTTCTTAATTTATATTAACCATGGTTTCATCTACCCCAAGTCCTCCAATATTCCTTTCACCACCCATCTTATCAGAATTCACAACCTTTTTTTCTCTTTTTAGAAAATAAATAGGTATAAGATAAAACAAACCAATGATAATAGGACAAAAACCAAACAAACAGAAGAAAAGGGACCCCCCCCAAAAGCAACAGATACGCATTTAGAGACAAAGACACATATGTTCATATGCACGTGTCTCCTAAAAACACAAAACATGAACATATAATGTTTTTGCCTATGATATGTAAGATAAAGAATTAAAATGATGCCATGCTTT